GACTGTATATATATATATATATATATATAGATATAGATATATAGATATATATATATATATACTACATAAAGCCGTATATATGTGACATCCAAATAATATTTAATGGGCTGGAATCATATTTGACATGGAATTAAGTTTAGGCCCACCGACTATAATTTTATAATTTAAATTGGGTTCTCATCTTTTTTATTCTCTCTCTTTTATTTATAATTTTTTTAATAAAAAAATTAAATTTAATCAATAAATAGACTTGAAATATGATATAATCCATTTTTTTCTTCTTAATTTAGTTATTGCAAATTGGTTTTTCTAATTATTTTTTTGAAAATTTTCTTTATATATATATATATATATATATAAACAATTAAATAGACTAACGAAAACAATCAGATACGAGTATTACACAGTTTAAATCAAAAAATACTAAATATACTACTCGTAGGAAAAGATTGCAGTAAGGTGTGGCCCTCTCGTGAATCCATCATAAACCAAGTTCGCGAAATAATCAACGGTAAAAAAGTTTTTTTTTTTACTTAAATTAAAAAAAAAATCATTTTTTTTACAAAATTTATTGTATTTTCCTTCAAATTTTATACGTTAATTAATCTATTTGGCGTATAATAATAAAATAAGCGCACAGACATTTTTATTGAATAAATTTTTATTTTAAATATTATGTAACATTTAATATATTAAAAATATTTAATTATTTTAATAAAATAAAAAATTTAAAAAAATAAATACGTCAGATATCACATGATATTTAAAATAAAAATTTATTCAATTAAAAATAGACACGTGTTTAGCTTTTTTATTATCTATTGAGAAATCTTAATAATATTTAATATGTATAAATTAATATATATGTATATATATATATATATATGTTTAAAGTAGATCAATTAGAATCCAAAAAAGAAATGAATTAAAGTAGTTTTACCCAAAAAAAGAAAAGCCTCTTATTCTTATGTTAAAATAGAAAAAGCTGAAAAGCTCAAACTTTTGGTGTAATTGAGAGTCGGATTAGCAAAGGTATAATATGCATCAAAAAGGGGAAGCAAATTTTGTACGCACAGACTTTTCTGTGTATTGATTCCACTTTCTAATGCCTGGGATCCCAATTCTCACAGCAAATTGGCTGGAAAGATGCCAAATTTCTGAGTCGGTGGCTCAGTTTTTTTACCCTCGTCCCCATCATGACAACACCCTTTGCAGCTCACCATTAGTAGATTTCGACACCTGCTTTATTTGATTTTGAATACGTTTAGATCATCTGTAACCTTAGCTGTCGCATAATAGACAAAAGAAAATACAAAGACAGAAACATCTCTCTTGCTTCTGTTGCTTCACAAACAGAAGGAACTTCACATGGCTTGTTTGCTGGCACGACAAGAGTCTTCTTGCATTACGATTAAATTCCACCCTCTTGAAGTTTTCTGTCATGGATTCATAATTGGACCTAATTAAAGAACATCCCCATGCTCGTATACCCTTTTCTCTCCCCCATAAAATATTCAGTCTTCTGACCTCACAGCACATGGTTTCTTCGGCCCACATGGCTTCTTCCCCTGCCCCATTTGCGGCTTTGAATTAGATAACTACACAATAAAATGATATACTATGGATGACCACAAGATCCCCATGTGGGTCTCTTTAAATATTCCTTA